TGAGTGAATAATGACAGTAAGTGACATCTCTCCATCAGTCTGAGTAATTTAGAGATGATTCTGGCTGTATCATTAGTTATGATCCTATGTACACCCGAGATGCATTTTTACCATTTACTATGCAGCTCCTGGTGACACCTTCCATCCACCTGATTTACATTCCTCCCACTCTTCACCCTCCCTTGCACAAATTCACTTACTTTCCAGTTCCTGTTTTAAAAAAATGACACAGTTTTATTAGTACCTGCAGGTGAGGCCTGCATGGGGTGGCGGGTGTGCTATGCTCAGGGGAGTGTGGGCTGTGAGGAGGGGATGATGACCGGGAGGCTGGAAGGAAAGGGGGTAGGTTTGGAGACCATGACCACGGGGTCCTCAGATCCGCTTCTGGGGATGGGCAGCCTTGAGAAAGGAGTCATGGCAAGCCACAGCTATGCCGCCAATAAGATTAAGGAATTCCTGGAAATCTAGCTGCCCATCACAGTTGAGGTCCAGTTTCTTCATCATGCGGTCAAGCACACCAGGGTCCTTCTGGTTCTGCAAAGATAATAATAATAATACTATCTTTATATTGCATTTTTTAAGGTGCTTTCAAATATGTTGCTATATTTTATTCTCACAGGGTTGTAAGGTACAGGATAGGGGCTGTTAATACTCCTATTTTCCAGATGCAGAAACAGACTCAAAGAGGTGAAGTGATCTGCTTAAGGGGGAGACTTGGGGCTTGAACCAAGGTTTTCCTACTCCTGGTCCAGGGTTCTTTCTATGACATTAGGGGTCACATTTCAAGTGTTCCACACAACCCCAGTATACAAACCATGCAAGAGTGGAACGATTTCAGGTAGAAAGAGGGCGTAGGCCCTGCCTAACCAGCCTCATCCTCCACTCATTGGACCTCCCAACACATACACATGCTTATAGCCACTGGTCAAATATTGCTATTTACATTTAAATTTAAGTTAATTTAGAAACTCAGTCCCTTGGTCGCACTAGCCATCTTACAAGTGCTCAGCAAGAACATGTGGCTGGTGGCTACTATATTGGATAGTGCAGATATACATTTCCATCACTGCAGAAGGTTCTATTGGACAGGGCCGCCTCAGAGCCTTTGGGGTGGAAGAATAAAATCAGAAAATGATTCTATTATGTCATATACCTCTCTCCCTAAATGGAAAAACAAATCACCATTACCTATGCCATGCAGTTTGAACCCTTTGATCTTTAAAACACATCTCAATTCAAAGAAAAGCAGAAGCAAAGGTCCTTTAACAGTCATTCAGAGCTCACTCTGAGGCCTAGGGTCTCTGCCTGGGCTGCTCTGTGGACCGCCTGGCTTGGAGTGAGTGCAAAGGAGGCAGGAGTGTGAGGAGTCAGTTGCTGGCCCTTCTTTCTTGCCATTCCGCCAGGGGCTTGTTTCATGCTGTGGGTAGCCTGGGGGTGGGGGGAAGGCTGGGACCAGTACCTTTGTGAAGGCAGCCAGTTCTGTATTCATGAAGCTTAGGAACTCAGTCTTGGAGAGAGTGCAGTTGTAATTATCCTTTCCAGCATACTTCTGGAAAACAGCAATCAGGGACTCGATGCACCGCTCAGTCTCTGTAGGGCTCGAGATTTTTGCCTTTGGAGAAAAAGAATGCAGGGCTCAGGTAAGGGCAAGATGTCAAGGGCTGGATGCTGGAGAGGACTCCAGAGACTCTCGTCTCCTCTCTTCCAGTCAAAGCAGTTTCCTAAAAGACTAGGTCATTTTTTAGGGGGCCGAGGGGTCCAAGACAAAGAAAGTCACATTCTGTGAGCTTCCTTCCCACCTCTCCTCACGTTTATTCCAGGTGAAATATATGGAGGGTAAATATGGAGCATTGAGGGTACGTTTGAAAGCAGCAAACAAACTGCCTCGATGAGAGTGGGGGGTGGACAGAATTTACTGATATTCTTAGAAGGTGCAGATAAATACATGTGTAACTCTGTAACCACAAACCCATATGCACACCAAGCACTGTCTCTTAAGTAATTTCCTGTTTTCTAAGAGTGTACAGAGGCTTTTGTGATGAATGAAATGCCAGTTCTTTTGAAAGCAATACTGAATTCCTGGGACTCACGTATTTTCTTGAAAACTGAAAGCATAGCTGTCACTGTATATGGCATAGGAGACGAGACAACATTCTAGATGTTAAAAGGTGGCTTTCATATTTGAGAGTTAGGAAACATTAATTTTAGATGTGAGGAGACTGAGGTATGAGAAGGGAATTGAGACAGCACAGAATTGATATGCCCGAGAAACCGGGTCTCGGGCGCCTTTCTGCAGTCCTCAGCCGTGCCACCTCCCACCTCCAGGTGCCACTAATTCCACAGGAAGGGCCGGCGGAACTTCTCTAGGGGTCACTTCAAACCACAAAGGTTCATATGGAGGCTCTTAGGTTGCGGCTCACACAGTATCTCCAGAGCTGGAGATTCAAATTCTTTCCTCACAGCAGAATTCTTCAAGGAAATTCTGTCGGGCGGAGCCTGCCGGGCATTCCAGCCAGGACCGGGGTCCCAGAAGTGAGGAGCTGTTGGCCTCCCCCCTGGTGGACAAGAGCAGCAACTGCAGGTTGTCTGGGAAACGGGCCTGGCCACACCCTTCCTCTTTTCATGTCCCGGTATTAACAATGATTTATGTTTGGGTGGTAACGTTTGCAACTTAAGCGTTCAGCCTTTAATTTGTTCTTAGTATGGACTTCCTGGTTCCCAGAGCTAGAGCCTTTCTGGCTCCGTAATTCGCACGTGCTAAGGACTGAGCGGAGCCCTTGCACAGCTGCGGGTTGGTCTCCGTCCCTCATTCAGCCTTGACACCCCAGTCTGCCCCTCTGTGCGTTACCCGCCTAACCAAGATGCCTGCCTCCCATTGCATCTTGGAGCATTCAGAGCCCCTGAGCCATTCCAGAGGAGGATCCTTTCCCAACAATCATATTGAGTTTTTTTTTTTCTTTTTTTCTTTCCCCAAAGAGAACTTTTTCTTAAGGAAAGTGTTGGTGGGCTCAGGGGCTTCGGGAGAGAAAACAAAATACGATAGTCTAGAAGCAGATGTGTTTGTCCTGTTACAACATGCTTTTCTTATCAGGACTAAAATCTCACTGTCTTACTAATGTATCAGATGACAGGAAGAAGGCTGGCTGGTAGGGTAGAAGGTTCCAGGCTGAGGAGCTCGGGCTTTGTGAGCTTTTTCTAAAACTACAGATGCTT